ATATTTCATTTTTTTGCTTGCTAATGTGAATAGCCCAGCTTCTCTTATTTCCCTCTCTGTAATTTTGTTGTTCGTGTATAGGAATGCTATTGATTTCTGAGTATTGATTTTGTATCCAGCCACATTACTGAATTTATTTATTGTATCTAAGAGTATTTCAATGGAGTTTAGGGGGTCTTCTATGTAGAGTATCATGTCATCTGCAAACAATGATAATTTAACTTCTTCTTTTCCTATCTTTACCCCTTTTATTTCTCTTTCTTGCCTAATTGCTCTGGCTAGTACTTCCAGTACTATATTAAATAGGAGTGGTGATAAAGGACATCCTTGTCTTGTACCCGATTTTAAAGTAAAGGCTTTCAATTTTTGGCCATTTAGTATGATGCTGGCTGTTGGTTTGTCATAAATGGCCTTTATTATATTGAGGTAAAGACCATTTATTCCAATTTTCTGTAAAGTTCTTATCATGAATAAGTGTTGGACCTTATCGAAGGCTTTTTCTGCATCTATAGAGATGATCATGTGATTCTTATTTTTGGCTTTATTGATATGGTGGATTACATTTATTGATTTGTGTATGTTGAACCATCCTTGCATTCCTGGGATGAATCCCACCTGGTCATGGTGTATAATCTTCTTGATGATTTGCTGGATCCTATTTGCCAATATTTTATTGAGGATTTTTGCATCTGTGTTCATTAGGGAGATCGGTCTATAGTTCTCTTTTATAGTTGGGTCTTTCTCAGGTTTTGGTACTAGAGTAATATTTGCTTCCAGGAATGACTTAGGAAGGATTGCTTCCCTTTCAATTTCATTGAATAGTTTGAGGAGTGTCGGCATTAGGTCTTCTTTATATTTCTTGTAGAATTCTGCAGTGAATCCATTTGGGCCTGGGCTCTTCTTGGTGGGCAAGGACCCAATTACATTCTCAATTTCATTAGCAGAGATTGGGTTATTCAACAGTTTTATATCCTCTTGATCTAGCTTTGGTATTTCATATGCTTCTAAGAATCTGTCTATTTCTTCTGTGTTATCAAACTTTTGAGAGTAGAGGTTTTCAAAATAGGTGTTGATGATCCTCTGTATTTCTATTGGGTCTGTAGTGATTTCTCCTTTTTCATTTCTTATTGCATGAATTTGAGCTTTTTCTTTCCTTTTTTTAATAAGGTTGGCTAGGGGCTTATCGATTTTATTTATTCTTTCAAAGAACCAACTCTTTGATTCGTTGATTCTTTGGATTGTTTTCTTAGTCTCTATTGCATTGATTTCTGCTCTGATTCTTATAATTTCCTCTCTTCTTTTGGCTTTGGGCTTGACTTGCTCTTCTTTTTCTAGCTGTTTGAGGTGTAGCATCAAGTTATTTACTTGTATTCGTTCTGTTTTCCTGATGTGGGAACTCAGTGCAATAAATTTTCCTCTCAGAATGGCTTTCATTGCATCCCACAGATTCCGGTAAGTTGTATCTGCATTTTCATTTTCTTTTAGGTATTGTTTAATTTCTTCTTTAATTTCTTCTGTGACCCACTGATTACTCAAGACTGTGTTATTTAGTTTCCATGTGTTTGCGGAATTTTTGCAGTATCCTTTGTCATTAATTTCTAATTTGAGAGCGCTATGATCCGATAATATGCAAGGGATGATTTCAACTCTTTTGCATTTGCTTAAATATGTTCTGTGAGCTAATATATGGTCTATTTTAGAAAATGATCCATGTACTGCTGAGAAGAATGTGTATTCTGATGTTGTTGGGTGGAACATTCTGTATATGTCTATCAAAACCATTTGTTCACAGGTGTGATTCAGTTCTGTTATTTCTTTGCTCATTTTCTGTCTGGTTGATCTGTCCCTTGGTGTCAGTGGTGTATTAAGGTCTCCTGTTACAATTGTGTTACTGATAATTTGAGTTTTCATTTCTGTTAATAATTGTTTTATATAACTGGGTGCTCTGGAGTTTGGTGCGTATATATTTAAGATAGTTATCTCTTCCTCTTGGAGTTTTCCTCTTACGAGTATGTAGTGATCTTCTTTGTCCTTTATGGTCATTGTTGGTTTAAAGTTCACGTTGTCTGCAAACAGAATGGCTACTCCTGCCTTTTTTTGGATTCCTGCTGCATGGAGAATTGTTTTCCATCCTTTGACTTTCAGTCTGTGAGTATCTTTCTGGGTTAGATGGGTTTCCTGTAAACAGCATATGGTTGGATTTTGTTTCTTGATCCATTCTGCTAGTCTGTTTCTTTTGATTGGTGCATTGAGACCATTTACATTAATGGTTATTACTGTTAAATGCTGGTTAATTGTAGGAATGTTATCTCTCTGCTGTTGCATCTTTATCTTTCGGTTCTGTTTAATTATTTGCTTTGCTTAGTGGTTTTTTCCTTTGTGTATCTAAACTGTCTTTCAATATTTTTTGCAGGGTTGGTTTGGTGTTCATGAAGTTTTTCAGCTGTTCTTTGTCATGGAAGTATCGTATTGCACCATCTATTTTGAATGATAGTTTTGCAGGATATATGTGTCTTGGTTGGAAATCATTTTGCTTTAGGATCTGGAATACTTCACTCCATGCTCTTCTTGACTTTATCGTTTGTGCTGAGAAGTCTGCTGTGATTCTGATAGGTTTTCCTTTATAAGTGATTTGTCTTTTCTCTCTGACAGCTTTTAATAATCTATTCTTGTGTTGGATTTCTGGGATGGTGACTATTATATGTCTGGGTGTAGTTTTATTTTGGTTATGACTGTTTGGAGTTCTATATGCTTCACTGATCCTGATGTTGGTTTCTGATCTCATGCTTGGGAAATTTTCAGCTATTACTTCTCTAAATATCCTCCTGACATCCTTCATGTTGTCTCCCTCTCTTTCATTAATCCCTATCATTCTTATGTTATTCTTCTTTGCATCGTCTTGCAGTTGTTGAATTGTTGTTTCCTGGTTCCTTGTTATTTTCAAAAGATCTTTCCTTTCCTGTTCACTAGCTGCAATCCTGTCTTCAAGGTCTGAAATTCTATCTTCACTTTCATTAAGGCGGTTTTTACAACTTTCAGTGGAGTTTTTTATTTCCTGTATATCTCTGTGCATCTGCATTATGTATTCTGTTTGTTTCTTATATTGCTCGTCTAGGGATTCTATCTTTTTGTTTAGTTCCTCCAATTTTTTATCTGTGTTTTCTTTAGATATATTTAGAATCTCTTTCATTTCTTTTATCATTTCTTCTTTTATCTAGGAGATTATTTCGAGTTTGAATTTCTTTAAAGCTTCCTGGAGTTGCTTGTCAATTTCAGTGGCTATTGTGTCCGATATATGAGGTGGATGGGATATATTTTCTTCTATATACATCGCTCCTAGGGTTTCTTGAGATGGGCTGGAGGTTTGAGGTTGTAATTTGGTCTTTCGTTTTGTCATTTTCCTATATTTCTGTGTTTCAAGTGTTACTTGAAAGCTTCCTCAGGATCTGTTGAAAATCCCCTTCTATGTTTGGAGCTACTGGGACTCTGGCGCCGCGCTACTCCAAGCCATTAGGCCTACAGAACCAGTGGCCCTCCTCTGCCTGCTCAGAACTCCGCAGTTCTAGACAAGCTGGGCCTCAGGGACACTGTGCGCCCACCTGCCCCTTGGAAGCTCCACAGTTCTTCAATCGCAGCCGGGTTAGGGTACTCACCACAGGCCGCAGTGCTTCGGGAACCTGTGGACCCTCCCTGGTTGCAGAGATATCCACAGTCCTCCAGACACGCAGAGAGGCCAGTGAGGGCACCCCAGATCTGCCCAGCTCCTCCTCTGCAGACCTGTGGCCAGGTGCGGCAGCTAAACAGGCTGGGCTTGGCACTCACTGGTCATTTAACCTTTTTCTGAGTTTCATCTTCCACAAACAGTGCTTCTGTGCATTAGTAAAGGCTTATTTCTGCCTTTGTTATAGTGTCCAAACAGCCTTTTATCAGTGTACTGGTCTATATTATTTGACTTTTCCTTTGTTTTGACTCTAAATTACTTTAGAATGATGTTTGAATAAGGACAGGAGTTGCGTGTAAGTACAGTTCAGAGGACAGGAAGAAGCATGAGCTGGAGGTGATGATGCACATCTGTAATCCTAGCACTCTGGCGAGCTGCAGCAAGAGCAAGCCAAGTTCCAATCCTGACTTTGCTAATTTAGAGGACAAAAGTTTTTTTAAAAGGGGTGAGGATATAGCTTAATGCAAAGGCCCTGGGTCTAAACTTCTGCAGAACTAACTAACTGGCTGAATAGATGAATAAACAAAGAAAAGATGTGTATTATCCAGTGAAGCTCTTATGCCAATGACTACTAAGAAAAACTAATCTCTTTATTATAATTATTCATCTCCAAAATCCTAGCAGCTAACACGCTAGGTTCTAATTTGATGAAACTATCTTTTACCACTTAAATGCATTTTAATGAAACTGTCTTGTACCACTTAAAAGAAATTTAGCTTGTAGAAATGTTATAATTTACAATAAATGTCTTAGTAACATTTTTAGCTAAATTTCAGTTTTGGATTTTAGTACTAAATTCTAGGAGTGATTTAATGGAATAGTTTAGATGGAACTAGCTGTTACTAGGTACATACTTATTTGTAAAAATGTTATGCCAATATTTGTTAAGTAAATAATAATCATATATTAAGTTATTTTTATTTTTCCCTATAATAATGCAATCTTTAAATATACAAGATGAGTTTAGTATAATCAATAGCTAGTCTTCACCATAATGGTAAAGAACAGAGAATTTGTTACATGCTAGAATATACTGATTAGGTAGGTCCTAATATTTACTGGAAGATGGCTTCAAAATTTTGTGACATGTACAGCAAAAAAAAAATTGTGACATGTACAGCAAAAAATGAGATATTAAAGGAAGCTGTTAAGAATAAATACCAAAAATACTTTTCAGATATGATATCCTGTCACAATTATCCCTTGTTAAAATGATTTTGGAGGTGTTACTGTTGTTAGCTAAGATAACAAAATGATCTCATTTTACTTTGTTTCACAGCATTGAACGTGAAATTTGAGCAATGAAATGTATTTTTAAAGACTACCTAAACTGAGCTGAAACAACAGAGTTGTGGAATTCAGCTGTGAGTAGAACTGTCTCGGTTTTTTTGTTTTATTTTAAGAAATAGGACAGTATGTCTTAAATCTATTCAAGGCTTCTGATGATCAAGGCATGTGAGAAAAATCTGAATTGAAAATCAGGTTCCTACTATCATGCAAATAGATTGCTTAAAGGAAAAAAAAATTATTTTGGTACCAAAAACAAGTATATTTTCCTTAACCTCTACAAGGAACATGACTTTGGAATTTGCAAAAAGTCTTAAAAAGACATGTTTTCAAATATTTGCAATAGAAACACCTGAAAAATTCAACCAATACATTTCCTTTGTTTCTCTTGCAATGTGCACACCATGATTCTGTAAGACCTGGCCACACCAGCAGCAGCAGGGCCACACACACCCAGCTCAAGCCAGGCTCAGGTCCCTGAAAGCTGCTGCTCCCCTGGCCACTCCATCACCATACACCCGCCTTCTTAACCCTAAACTCAGCTCAGAGATTCTCCCACCTCTCACCAGCCTCCCTGAAACACCAGCACCTCTCCTGCCACTGCTGTGTGTCTGTTACCGGGACTGTGCCCAAGGAGGTGGCATTTCTGCCTTACCATTGCCGCCCATTCTCAGCCATCACTGCCCTGAGTGAGATTCATTTAAAGTCTTACGCCTCACGACACATTCCTGAAACACAGATGGCAACTGTGAATCAGATGGAAAGAAACGGGTTTCCTTGCAAATTTATTTGATGTACCTTTTGTATATATTGATAGTATTCAGGCTTACTTTTCATAACCACAGAAAATCCCACGTAGCTAAGGTATGGTTTGCCAGGCAAATAAGCTGATTGTATTTAATTATCTACTTTAGTTAAGATCAAAGTCTTCTTTAGATGCTGGTAGGGAGAGTGTACTCCCTGGCTGTTTCTTCAGCCTCCCACTGACATTTTTTTCGGGCACCGTTCTGACTTCCAAGACACTCTGTATTATTGCCAGGCCCTTTGCACACTTACCCACTGGCAAGAAACCCTCAGCCTCCCCGGGCTCTGACACAGAATTCCAACTCAATGGAAACTTTCTCTGTGCACACCCCACTCCCCACCCTCCCAGGCCTGACAAAGCCCTGAGTACTTTCAATAAGAGAGCATGGCTCTGGACACATCAGACACCTCTGGACATGCCATCCAGGCCACCATCCACCATTGCCACAGGCAAGCCTCAATAGGTAAAAATAGCACGGTTAATGAGAAAGGATGACTGGGCCTTGTACTCCCTCAGACCGACTTGCCTACCACTTCAGATTCTTCCAGACTTTTGTTTATAGGCACTCAAACTACAGAGGAATTGGAGGTAAAATACAGGTGAGATAACTGTCCTCACAATCAGCAGTGGTCTGGGAGATAAGGAGGCACATGTGAGACATGGTCAGTGACATCTAAGACATGGAGAAACCTAAGCACAGTTAATGCCTTTTTAATTTGGAGGCATCTTTCAGTAGATTTATTTTCTTTGTTGTTGTTTTGTTCTGGTACCAGAAATCAAACTCAAGACCTCATGCTTGCCAGGCAGGCGCTGTACCACTGAGCTACATTGGCAGCCCAGTAAACTTACTTTCGAACTGATAGATAAAAACAAAACTTGTACCTATTAATGGGAAACCATGTGATGTTTGACAAGTGTATAAACTGCATAATACTGAAATCAAAATAAATATACCCCGTCACTCACTTCTTATGCTAAAATCATTTAAAACCCTCTCTTGAAGCTTTTTGAAGTACGCAGTACATACTCTATAATCACTATTGTGTAGGAGTGTACAAAAACTAATTATGTAAATAAAATTATTGTCTACTGAGGACCCACTGGTCAACCTTCACCCGTTCTCCTTCCTAGTTGCCCATACCTGGTAACCAGTACTCTGTTCACAAGTTCAACATAAACTTTTTCACAGGCAACAGAGGAATAAGATCATGAAGCAGCTATCTTTCCGTCTGCCTTATTTCACTTAAACTAATGTTCTCTGTTTCCATGCATGATATCACAAACAGTAACATACCATTCTTTTTATGACTAAATAATATTCCACTGTGTTCCTGTGCTGCCTGAACCATCTATCAGCTGATGGATACAGGTTATTTCCATTTCTTCATTATTTTGAGTTCACAATGAACTTGCAGGTTCAACTTTCCATCAAAAAATTTTATTACAGATATCCTCTTTCATGAAAATTATTCCTAGTTATATTTTGTAGCTGTTGTAAATGAGATTACTATCTTGATTTCTATTTCAGATAATTTGCTAGTGGCATATAGAATGGCTACTAGTTTTCATATTTCAACTTTTGTGGCTAAAGTCAAAGTTGCCAAATTTATTTGTTCTAGGTGTTTCTACTCCAGTCAGGTTTTCTATATACAAGACCATGCCGTGCACAGTCACAATCTGACTTGCTCATTTGCAGTTTGGATGTCCTTCCTTTCTTTTCCCTGTTTTTGCTTACAGGATTTTCAGCACTGTGTTGTCTTGTTCCAGATAATAGAATGCTTGCTTTCTGCTTTTCCCAAATTCAGTATGCTGCTTTCCCTAGCTGACATTTAGATTTCTCGCATCGCCAACTTCCTGACATCTCCACTGTGATTTTAGCTTCAGCCTCTCTACTTCACTCTGCCTCTCAGGACACACTGCCTGGCATCCTGGGCCATCTGAAAGATGGAAAGCCTCCTAACTCTTGCATTCAGATGATGCTAAGGTCTGCTGCCAGCTCAAACAGTAGGGGGCACTCCTTGCATTATGGTTGCAGAGGTCTGCGAGTACCCAGAAGGCTGAGCTTCAGGAAAGACTTTCCTAGTAGGCATTACTAAGCTGGATTGCCTGGGGCTCTCTTCCCAAAGCAGTATTTTTCACTTTTGCAGGGAAAGAGGGAATTTTCTATTTCTGGGAATTCCTCAAGTCGTGCTTCCTATTGGCCTAGGATGAATTACTTGGCTCCTTTTTGAAGTACTTGGCTAAATTTTTGAGTGGCCACGTTCTCCTCTGCTCCAACTTTGCTGGCCCCAGCTTCAAAGAAGTTTTCTGTTGAAATTCAAAATGTCACTCACTGCACACTCAGCTGCAGGGAAGAAGCTGAGCAGATCTCCCTTTGACTCACTCAGGCCTGCTTCTGAGAACCCGAGGGGTCACTGGGCTGTTGGCAGGATTCCCCCACATAGAACTCCATCCACTGCCTGCTGAGGAGAGCAGATAGTGCAAATTCAACAGGCACCATCCCTGTCAGGTAAGGTGCTGAGTAGCTGCCCTGTATAGAGGGGGTAAGGTGTCCCGTGGAGGGTATCCAGGGAGGGTCATGCTTGCCAAGTTTCAGCTTAAGAAATCAAAGCAACAAATCATAGGGTGAGTATCTGCAGCCAGCCACTTGTCATGTGCAGATGCTAAGTGCCAATGTGGCTCTGCCCCACTGCTTGTGCAAGCCCACGCTCACACATACACTGCCAGCCCTGCCAGCTCCACATACCCAGAAGCAAGCCAAGGCTCTGCTCTGAAACCAGGAAGGTGGAACTGCAAAGCTCCTGGAAAACACCAGGGCACTCTACTCCAGCACAACTTGGACAGCTCCGCAGCCACCAAGAAGCTTCTGATAGCACTGCCTTCAAAAGACCGAACTGCCCCCTTGCCCTTTGGACAGCCAGCAGAAGGGAGGGGCATCCCTGCCTCAATCCTCTGCCTCAGCCCTGGCCCCTCACTGACATCTTCCTACCTGGTCCCAGAGCTGTCCTTTGTTTAGTGAAGGAGCAGAAGGAGCCTTCTTCCTGCTCACCACCTCCCCAGCTTTGGACAAGGTGCTCTGACTCATGCCCCCACCTGAGGCATTTACAGGGGAGCAAATGCCCCAGGATGCAGGTCTGGGAGCCCTCAGTTCTTCCCCATGACCAGCATGCACTACAGCTGTTCTGACTTTTCACGAGAGCATCGTTGAAATAGGAAAATCAAGTCAGCAGAACTGACTCTGCTCACAAGGTGCATTAAAGAAGCTTATTGTAACTAGTCCTCCTCGGCCTCCCTTTTTATGTTCTGCCAACCCAACACCCACAGCCATTGGTAGCACCACTTTATCTCTAGGGATCAGGCCAGAATACAGTAAGCCTAAAAGGTTTGCTAAGTGAATGGAGAAGTGGTCCTGTTAGAGAAGGTGGAGCTTTTAGGAGCCCATAACTCTCCCCTTCAGCCATGCTGAGGGATCAGGGCAAAAAGTGGGAGAGGAGAGCTTTCTGGCCCCAAGCCCTGTTTCCATTTTGCAGATGGAAAAACTGATTCCTAACATAAAACAAGGGAGCAATGGACTCAGTTCCCACAGAGACAGAGCAGAGAGGTTGCCTCTCTGTTCAAATTTCCTAACATCAGCCAGACCCTCCTCTGACTTCAGAGCACTATAGTGGTGGTGGTAGGGTACTCATGTTCACAGCCTCCATCAGAGCAGCTGCAGGGAGAGAGTCAGGGATCCTAATGGTATATGAGGAAGCAGCCTGATCACAGTCTAAGCACTAAGACCTGAGGTCTCAGTGGCCAGACTGTGGACAGGTTGAAGGACAGCCAGTGGCAGGGCTGCTTTGATGAGCTGCTCCTTCACCAACCAGCGGAGCATCTCCCACCTGGCCCCAGCCCCAGGCTCACATTGCTGATGAGGACAACAACAACAACAACAACTGCAAATTAGGAACATTTACACAGGAATCATAAAACACCAGACCCTGTCCTGAGTTTTTTTCTTTTTTTCTTTTTCATTTTTACCTGTACCAGGGATCCAACTCACCACCGCCTGCTTACAAGGCAGGTGACTATGCCTCTGAGCTAAATCCCCACCTCCCCTGGGTGTTTTCAATGGTTAAATCCCTCAAACCTCAACAATCCTGTCCTGAGGTGCTGTTACTATTTTCTCTTTACAACAAAATAAGACTTGTTCAGGCTGCACACTGCCCAACAGAGATGCAAAGAGGAGTCATCCAACATCCAAGCCATGTTCCTTGACCCTGCACTCTACTGCCTTGCTTGTGGAACTGTCTCTGCTCTGGCTGCAGGTCCAGATGCTTTACTGCCTGTCAGCAGGGAGAGTGGCACTATTACTTGTTGGCTCCATCTTGCAGAATAAAACTCAACTGCAAGATTTTATGGGTAAGGGAGTTGGGGTACAGGCATCAAAGAGGGAGACACAGGCCTGCCTGGTGGAACATGGAGGGAGCTGCCCATGCAAAGGTCACGTGCTTCCCAGGCACCCAGGAGAAGATGGCCTGGGAGGGCAGTGCAGCTTGCCCCTGAGGGCTGAGCTGAGCTGAGGCCAGGCTGGGCCTGGCATACAGTTCTCCTGGTCCTTGGCAATGGGTTCTTCTTTAGCAAGGGCTGTCCTTTGGTTTTGGTAGCAGGGTGTTTGGTCAACAGTTTCCTCTATTGTAACACAGACCTTAAAACCTTGATCCCTCAAGCAAAGGTTCAGAAACTTAGAGCCTCACCAAAGCACTTGACTTAGAAAGCTAGATAAAAAAGCAATAAAATGAATCCAGGAAAGGGAAGGAAAGAGGAAGGACTTGATAAAGAAAAAGCAAAAAATAAGGAATTGGGTAAACAGAAAAGCAGACAGAATAAATACAATCAAGAATCGTTATTTGAAAAGACCAATAAACATAGATCAAAATTTGTAAAAGAGGCCCAAATGAGAAGATACAAACCAGAAATACAGATGAGACAATATAAAAAAGAGAACATATACTCCACAGTACTTTATCTGGAAACTATGTTATCAAAATCAACTCAAGAACAAGTAATAAAATAAGCTCAGAGCTGGGCATGGTGGCACATGCCTGGAATTCCAGCACTCCGGGGTGCTGATGCAGGAGGATTGCCACAGAGTGGAAGACAGCCTGGGCTATAAAGCAAGTTCAAGCTCAGCCTGGACTATCTGATGAGACTTTGTCTCAAAACACAAAAATAACAGCCCAATAACCTTGGAAGAAAGTGAATAAAATGCCTTTTAAATAACAAGTGTCTCATGCACTTAGCTTCTTGGCTAAGTTTTTTTATTGTTTTTGTTTGGGGCAAATCTTTTAAAGGACATATACTCCTGTTATTAAACTTTCCTAGGATATATAAGTCCAGGAAACTCTTCCTAATCCATTTCACCAAATTAGCATAATCCTGATAGAAAAACTTTCTATGATGCTGCAAACTCCAGTGCACACTCTTGTAAAAATTAAAGAAAAATGGATCAAAGACTTAAATGTAAGCCCTAAAACTATAAAATTATTAGAAGGAAAATAAGGCATGAATATTCATGATTTTGGGTTAGGCATTGGTTTCTTAGGTATGACAACAACAAAGAAAAAGGAATCGAACTCATGGAAAGCCTTTTGTGCTTCAAAGGGCACTTAGAAAAGTAAAATGATGACCCACAAAACAGGAGAAAACATTTACAAAGTGTGCATCTGATAAAGCACTTGTACCTAGAATATATAAGGTTCTCCTATAGCTTATAATAAAAAGGCTAACAAACCAAGTTAAAATGAGCAAAGGATTGGAAGAATAAATGAAATGGTCAGTGAGCACATGAAAAGATATTCAATGTCATCAGTCAATAGGGAAATACAAGTCAAAACCACAATGAAACATCACACTCACTACAATGATTATAATAAAGAAGCTAGATTAGAAAAATCTTTGCAAAGATGAGAAAATCGGGACCCTAACACATTGCCAGTAGGAATACAAAATGGTGCAGCCACTCTGGAAAAGAACAGTAGCTGTCAAAAGATGAAATGTAGAGTTATCATACGACCCAGCATTTTTATTCCTATGTGTATCCCAAGAGAATGAGACCAAATGTCCACACAAACTCTGATACTCGAATGTTCATAGCAGCTTTGTTTATAACAGCCAAGAAGTGGACACTGCTGAAATTCCCATCATCTTATTAGTGGATAAAGAATACAGAATATTTGCCAATATCAAGGTATAAAATATTAGCACATGCTACAACATGAATAAACTTGAAATGATTATGCTGAGTGAAAAAAGCCAATCACACATAGCAACAAAAGTATGAATCTATTCATGTAAAACATCCAGAATAGGCAAGTCTTCAGACAAAAAGTAGATTCGTGGTCATCAGAGAATTGGGGTACCAGACAGTAGGAAAAGGGGCTGATAGTGGATGTGGCTCCCTTTGAGCTGTGTTAGGAAGTATCCCAAAGTGACTGGCAGCAGCTGTACAAATTTGTCATACTAAAAACTACTGAATTGTATGTACACTTGAAAAGGATGAATTTTATGGCACATGAATTATATTCCAGTAATTCTACTATTTGAAAAATTGCCATCTATTATCACCATCATCTTGAAAAAGAAATAGTAATCTGACACCAATCACACTGGAATGATATAATGTTAAATACGTTTTTAAGCTGCATAGATTTATTTTTATGGGGAAAAGGATGCTATAAAAAGCAGTTGACATGTAACAAAACCGTTCAGGTGTTTGAATGTCCACTTATAATGTGTAATCTATTAACCTGTGATTTATTACTGTTTATTTTGTAGTTCTTTCTGTATTACTTGTACCCTTACACCACTTTGTTTTCTTTTGTTTTATTCTCTTTTTCCTTTTAAATTCAAAAAAAAAAAAAAGTTTAGCTGATAAAAATAATACACAAGTCAAATGACAGATGGTGAACAACAAATTGGGAGAAATTACTTGAGGCATATACCATAGATAAAGGATCATTATTCCCATGTATCATGAACTTACAAAAATTGAAGGGAAAGACCAAAAATAATGTTGCAGAAAAATGGGCAAAGTACATGAATATAAACCCTTACTCTTTCCATATATAGACTCCACCAACAAAGCATACACACTCCAGGAAAAGGAAAATAGAATGTTTTTTCAACAGATGGAACAACCCTCATATGGGGAACCCTGGAGGATGTCAAACATCATGGAACTCCACTGCTCTGCCAGACCCTAGGGAAGAAGCTGGAAAAGCGAGTGCAGCAATCTCAGTGACCAAGGTACCCAAGCAGCAACTCACCATACTAATAAATGCCTGGAAGCTAACGGCCTCCACTTTGAGCATTAAGGTGTAATTGCAGAGGCCAAAGGTAATTTATTAATCTGATGATATCTCAATAAATTTAGAGTTAAAATATGTATACAAGTTTTTTCTTCCCTAAAGTGTATATATACTTTGGTTCTCTCTCTCTCTCTCTCTCTCTCTCTCTCTCTCTCTCTCTCTCTCTCTCTCTCTGTCTCTGTCTCTCTCTGTCTGTCTCCTTCCCCCTCCCTCTTCATATTCATGATATGCTTAAATTATATATCCTTAAATTATTTGAAAAGAAATTTAATTTCATTATATACTGGAATTGCAAATTAACATGGGGAATTTGGCAGCATTGAAAAAATACATGCATTTACCCCTTGAATAAGCAATCCTGCTTCTACAGACTTACATCTTAAGATGCATACATCTTCAACAATATCAAATATAAATACACAAGGTTTTTCACTGCAGCAGCACTATCTAAAACCATAAAATATCAGCAAATATCTACATGTCAAACACAGGGAATTTGCCAACAATGTGCACCATGGAATACTAGGCAGCTATACATCAGGAGGCCAAAGTCTGGGCAAGTGAACCTGGGAGCTAAACACTGACTTCCCTAGACCTCTACAGTAAATTTCCATTGTCCACATGATAACAGGTCAGAGCCCTCAGTGATGTCCAAGGTCAGGTTCTGTTAAGGACTCACTGAAAGCTTTGGAAGAACAACAGTAAGAAAGAGGCAAAAACAGCCTATTGACCCCTGGAGATATATGCATTTGGGGAGTTCAAAAGATGAATAGAATCACTAGGTGTCTGTTGGTATTATGCCCATCTGACAGAAGAGGGAATGAAGGTGCCAGGCTATCAATGTGCCCCATGTCACACCGATGATAATAAGAATGATGGCTAACAGTTTTGTAACACTTAATGGATGCCTCATGGCTCAAACACAGAGCTGGATTCCAAATACTATTTATTGTGCTTTGTAGATACTGACTCAACCTCAACAGCTCTATAAAACAAGTTCTATTATTATCCCCATTTTATAGATGTGATGACTAAAATCTACACAGATTAAACATCTGCCCATGTTACCACAGTTGGTAAGAAATGGAGCCACATCCAAACCCAGGAATTCCGGCACCAGGTCTGCCACATTCCTCCAACACATGGGTCATTTGTCCACTCCTGTTGCTGGATGTTCCGAGACATGAACATCTACTCCCATCCCTCCCTCTCTTCTCTTGGCCCAAGACATAACAAGTGCTTAGGAAGCATCTGCCAAGATGACATTAATCAAGTGGTGTTGATTCTGCTCATTTGACGGAATTATGGTTCTCCCTCACCAACATCTCAGAAAATACCTTTTCATGAACTCCAATTACAACTGGGCCTGATTTATCAATTCTTTCCTAGATGCAACTTTTTGTCTTCCATGCACCCCATTTCTAGATAAGCTGGCTGCATGTGCACTAATGGGGCGTGTGTGTGTGTGTGTGTGTGTGTGTGTGTGTGTGTATCCAATTAACTTCAAATTTAGCTCATAATGAACTTATCTCACTTTGTTACCAGCTTGGAAACAAAATGGCAGTAATTAACCCCTCGAGGTTGTCACTCTGACACATGACATGGAGACCCCTTAGCCCCTCACTTCAAACCCTTGCAGAATTCATTATCTGGACAGTACAAAAACCCTTCATTTTGATTACCAGAGGCACCAACCACATTCCCCTTGCCTACCTGACTGTGTGGTGAGTGAGAGGGAGGAGAAATCACCCACTTGAGAGGCCATTAATTACTGTGAATGAGCTGTTGTGGCGGTGGCAGTAGGAAGGTGGCCATGTTTTGATGGCTGGACAGGGCTCTGGCCTTGACAGCCCTGGGTGGGAGGTTTTGCTCAGAGGACTGAAGCCTCTGTGCACAAGGCCCACATCATGTGGGAACATGGAGGAGCTGGCTGAGAAAGACAAAGTCCTTCACAATCCAGGGATCAGATCTGCTGGGGACTCAACACCCAGGAAGCCTGAATATCACAGGCAGCAGTGACTTGCTGTTCAACCTTGCACAAACACTGCCTCCTTTCTGGGCCCTGATATTCCCACCTGAACACTCAAGCAGTGGGACAGGTAGTCTCTAGAGATTGTTTCCAGTTCTTAGCACAGCAGCATCATCTTCCTCTCCTTGCTGATGGAGAGGGGGCTGCTGCTGGCTACTCAGTGGATCTGAAGAACCTGCCATGCCTTGAACTCCTGTATGCAGCATCTGATTCCTGAGAGCACCTGCACTGAACCCTGGGGACAGGAGGCTAAGGAAACATCCTCTTTCCATGGCTTCATGAAAGGAGCATCTTAAAGTAGGCAGGGCTGCTGGTCTGCAGGCCACTGCCACAGGCCATCTGCTAAACAGGGACCTATGTGAGCAGGGGCCTGGTGCCTGCCCTAGGAGAGCAGGCCCTTCTCAGCTCTGGCTAGCTTTTAAAAGATGAAATCAGGTTTTCATTTAGTTCTCTGATATATGAGAATCTCAACTATGTGAATGTGAGTAATTCATCCATTTTTTTAAAAAAATACATTAAAAGCCAAATGTTTGAATTCCCCAAATTAGCCTCCAGACTACCCAGTTCCCACTATTATTTATTTTCAAAGCTTTCAAATCCAATTTGAACCACCCTGCTGGCAGCATCTCCTTCCACCACTGCCAGGCCTGGCTGAGGATCTGAGCTCTGCTTGGTGCCCTTGTACCTCCCAAGCAGGTGAGCAGCCTGCAGGGTGGAATGACACTGCAGGGAGTCAGTGAGCAGGGAGGTGGCTCTGGGAAACAGGCAGGGACATAGCCAGCTCCCAGGGGGCCAACCTAAACTTTCTGCCCTCTTTTTCATCTTGTGGGTGGCAGTTCCACCTCCTTTGTGCTCTGTCAGTGCCCCCCCCACACACTCCTTGTCTCTCTTCATTCCCTCCTTATGGGCACTACTCCAAGTCATCCTTCCCAGGCTCTCTGTCCCTGTCTTGCCCATGGTCCACTCTGGACTCAGCGAGGCTCCAAAGGCAATGCACCCTCTTCTGTCTTGGTTCATAGGTTTCCTCAGAACTTCAAACACTTCTGCTTCTGCATGCCACCTCCCCAAGGGACCACTTCTCACCATGATAGAACCCCACCAAACCTTTTGCAAGATAAGAAGCACAATTTAAACAAGAAGTAGAGGCCTAGAACACCGTGGGGCAGTGCTCAGTGCAGACCTGTGCTGGGCATGCTCCTTGCTATTTAACTAGAGCTCAGAAGCTGGGGAGCTACAGGTTCATGTGTAGATTCCTATTAGGTTTGAAAAAGAACTCCAGAAGTTTGGGCTGCAATTTCTTCAGATCAGCAATATTGTTAAGCAATATTGTTTCTAGTCTCATAATCTTATTCTAATATTTTGAATCAACTTTTCCCAATATATCACAAGTTAAAAAAAACTTTATCAAATACTCTTAGAAGCTGTTTTGTCTTTTTATAGATTTCCTCACTAACAAATGAAATTACATCTAATTTTATAGACTGACCATTTTATATTTATGCAGGGTTATGCTAGGGTTTGGATAAGTGTCCCTGTGAATAAGTGGGCAGCAGTAGGACAGCCTTAGGACCCTGGGTTGTGCCCTTAAAGAGGTCTGGGGGTCCTGCCTCTTCCTTCTATTTCTTTCTCCCTGACTTTGAAGTGACTAGTTTGCGCCACCCTGGACTCCCACCAGTGCCCGCTGTAACAGCCACCTACCTCTGCTGCAGAGAGTGGACAGGCTACCTGCAGATGCACCCCTTCCAGTCCTCACCACAGTTCTGGCAGGCTCTTCACAACAGGTTGACCAGCCTTTAGCCTGGGTGAGGTCACTGAGTTAGAAACAAGAACTCTAAATTTATTTTGCTCAAATTACTCAATTCCTACCTTGAACCACTTGTGTCTCTATTTGGCATGGCTAAAGATCTAATCTGGATTTGTAGAGTCAGGAAGACAAATCTGAGAGCTTAGTCTATTATACCATCATCTACCCTTTCCTCCCTTCTTTAAAGAGACCTCATCTTATTTCCTCACAGTCACAGAGACCTATCACAATCCAGTCCCATCTCAGTATACAGAACATGCTTGTATTTCACCTGCCTGGCATTTTAGAGCAGATACTGGGGGCCTCAGTCCATATTTTCATGTACATTTGTTGCATGATCTTCCAAGAACTGGTGACTGCTGATTCAACACACCCACACCCACACAAAAACAGACAAAAGCAGGGTTAAATTATCAAGGCCGCAAGGCAGCTGCACTGTGCTGATGGCTCTACGCCTTCCTACCAGAAAGGTGCTTGACCAGGAACAGGAGGAAGGCAGTATTTACAGCAGGAGAACTGCCAGGACACCATGGCTAGCTCCTGTCTTCACTCATTCTTGCATTCCTCCACTCATTCTGGTATTATCTGACATCTAGGTTCTAAGCACCATGGTGAGTGCTTCAGAGGACCCAGAGATAGATAATGGTAATGATAATCTCAACAGGAACTGCCATTTACATAATTAACTGTTCAAAGTGCATCTTATTTAAGTATCACAACCTCTTGAAGATACATATCTTCACAATGCCCCATTTACAGACAGTGTACCCAGCTCGTAAGAGGTAGAGCTGGATGTGTACAGAAATTCTGACTTCACAGCCTGTACTGCAGCCTCTCCCACAGACCATATACTCTGTTTCAATAGGTGAATCATGAAATACAAAATGCACCTACCTTTTGACCAGCAATTCTACTTTTAATACTCTATTTTTGCTAATACACAGGAAAGTACACCAAGATTTATATTCAGTGGGATGTCTTAAGCAATCCAGCTGCTGGTTGTAATGGATAGAAAAAGTAAATTATGATACATCCCTACAGTGGAAAATTATTACATTGTGTTGAAAAGCAATGAGGTAGATTTGAACATGGAGACTGCATATTT